CCTCATTCTTGAACTTAGAATATATAGTTCTCAGTTTACCTGTTTCTTTCCTCTAGAAATGTAAATTATGGGTCTCACCCCAGACTACAGAATCAGGAACTCAGGGGGCGGGGTCCAGGAGTCTATATAACAAGTGCTCCAGGTGACTATCATGTACTCTCAACTTTGAGAACCACTGATACATAGCAACACCTTCTAAATTCTTAGAGAAAAATATTATCAACTGAGAAATCTAAATCAAGGCAACTAATTTGGATAAGATAAAGACTTATTCAAACAAACAGGGACTCAAAATTTACCTCCCTTGCATTCTTCAAAAGCTATTGGACAGATTGTTCCTGTAATAGAAGGAAGTAAACAAAGAAAGTAGAGAAGTAGAAGACAAAGGACCTAGGAAATATGGAAACCAAGAACCCAAGGCAGAAAGGAGGATTTCCAGGATGGCAGTAAAGGGGTGTCCGTGCTGGCCCCTGTACAACAGACCCAGAAGGTCCTGTCTAGGAAGGGACAGGAGGACAAAAGAAATGACTCCAAGATAAAACTGTAGTTGATAAATTTGACCTTTAAAAACACTGCTAGGTATATAATCTATCTGGTGAACCAGGTGAAAAAAACTATTGATAGTTATTTTTTAAAATTGTAATAAATACGTAAATTATTAATTCTAGGAAACCCGAAATTTATACAAGAAAGGAAACTATTCTACTATTAGCTAATCAGTAAATATACAATTTCCATAAATACATTAATGTAAAGACTAACTTCTGCTGTAATTCAAATTTTTCAAATAAAGATTTTGGTAATTTTAAGGGAAGAGAAATAACTTGGAAGGGTTTATGACAGCTAAATCTTCGTTAATTTGAGAAAACCAGGAATTAATATACATAATTGATAAATCAAAAAGTAGCAATTTTTTCATATTTAGATAAATAAAGGATAAACACTTAAAAGAAAACCTTTAAAATAATTAAAGTGAGTACCTCTAAAACCAGGAATGGGATGGTGAAGGGTGGGTCAGGGTTTGATTGTTTATTATTTTAGAACTCATTTGCTTATTTTTTAAATTATGTGCATATATCATAAATAAGTATTAAAATGAGTCAAGAAAAAAATTCTCTGATCTCACAAAACAGTGTAAATTAATCTAATTTTCTGAACATTTATTGGGCTATGTGCAAAGCATAATAGTCATAGGGGACAATGAGATTAATAAAATCAGTTTCTCCCTTCTAGGTGAGTATACTCTTTTCAGACAATAAAACAAGTATCTATATGGCTACAGTAGCAGGTAAGACTAAGGGAAGAGGATCAAGAGAATATTACAGCCTCCACTGACCATCCCAGTCGCTGAAGCCCCGTTAACTGTGACATTCTGAAATACTGAAGCACTAAACACTCTACTAATACCATTAACCTAATAACCCCAACATTGTTTCTGTAGATGCTATAAGAGAAAAGAAAGAATCATAAATTCAATCAATTGTACCATATGTGACTTTTACATGTGCACTTATGTGTGGGGTGTGTGTATATACATATATGTGTGTATGTCTGAATATATCATATGCACACATTCATTCAAAAAAATAACTAAGTTTTTCTTGGAAAATGTAAGCATTTCCAATAAAAGGCAAATAAAGACTAGTCTAGATTAGATTTAATGTTAGGACTATTGTGTAAATGTTAGCAGCCTCAGCTAATTATCTACTGTTCTCATGCTGCTACTGTCCCATTTCCTTTGGAAATAAAAATTTTAAGTATAAAACTTTTATTTAGTCTTACATGATATTGGAAGATACTTCAGGTAACAATGGTATTTGGCGAGAAGTCCTGAGAGGAAAGAATCTTTTTTTTTTTTGGAAAGAATCTTTTAACGCTGTTACTGTGAACATTCAAAAGCACTGCTCTGGTTATTACACTTCTCAGTCCGGAAAGGAAGAAAGCCAGAATATGTACACTGTGGTGAGGCAGGAGTGCAATGCATGAAGAGCACTGTACAGATACCGGGGCAAAGGCATTGTGAAGTCTATGCATATATGTTCCCGAATGTTATAAATTGTAGTTCATTTCCTTAATGTAAACTACAAAATTGCTTTTGTTAATCCCTTTGTAGACTCTTTATATCTTGGGGAAATTGACAATGTATATTTAATAGGCACTGAAAAGCTGATTAGAAACTGTTCATGGGCTGGGTTTGACAGTGGGTGGATTTCAGTATTCGGGGTGGCTGGGCACCGAGCTGGCTTTTTTCTCAAGGTACCATCAAATGTTAGTATCTAGAATTTTTTCCTCTAGGACTGTTTAGTTTCTGGAAAAGATGAACTCTTCATTCTTCTGCATGGTTAGCGTATGCCTGCCTTCTGGCAGTCTGCGAACAGGGAGAAGAAAGGGGCTAGGTTCTCATGTTGGGAGTACTTTCACCCGGTCCCCATGCTTCAGCCAGCCCTAATATTTTTGAGTTAGGTGCTTGTCAGGTTCAGTTGTGCCGCAGACTTGGACTACTGGCATGGGTGTATGGGCTTTTATGTGGTTGCTCAGAGGAAAAGAGACCTGGGCGTGGAGTGGGGTTCTAGTGGCTCTGATTTGCGGTCAATTTTCCAGTTTTCAGCCCCACCCACACTTTCTGTGGTAACTAATATCCACAGTTTCCCTGGAGATCTACGGGTTTTTTAATTTCTTGAAAGCATATTTCCCTAGAAGTACTGAGGAGAAATTGTTCTCTGTTTTGCTTTATTAAGTCAGTGACCACACCACCATCTGCTGTTTACCTTAAAACAGTTTTTAAAAGAATTCCTTATGTACTGATATGTCTTTCATTTATACCTCTTGTCATTTGGGGTTTAAGCATTTTGTTAAAAATGATCCTACTGTCATTTCAGTGTCATTTTGAGATTCAGTATCTTGGTCACTCTGCTCTGCTTAACCAGATATCTAGGAACCATTTGTTCATCATTTTCTCTTTAGTGCCTGGCACATAGTAAGATCTAAAAGAAATATTTGATGAATGAATAACTGAATGAATTGAGTTAGAAGTTTTTATGGTGATGGAAGGCTTTGATGACAGAAAAGATGATATAACTATATATGCAGACATAACAACTTAAAACGCATCTTTTAAATTATGGTTTTGCTTTGGCTTCATTCCATTTTTTGTTTTGTTCTTCAACATGGTCAAGAAAACTTAAGTGTTTTAAAACGTGTACTAATACTTCAGAATGAATATATGTTTGTTTACTTGGACAAACACAGTTATTGCTGCTAAATTAGGCTTAAGATGTACCTTTGTCTATTTACAATTTTTCTCTAGAGTTAGACTTGTACTGAGGCTGATTTACATAGCAAGGGCACTCTGTATTCTTAATTATGTTTAGGGTAGCTCTAAAGAGGCTGGTAATGACGCCACTATTTCCTCCCCACTGGCTTCTTTGTGGATAATAAAGTGTGAGCATCACTGGCTTTAGTGTGGCATCTTATCAGGTGCGCTTTGCTTGCATTTCAAAATGAGTATGTGAAGATGGATAAAATCTAGTAGAGACACAGAAATTAAGCCATAAAAGTGAGAGAAGTAGTAACATTGATATTTTGAATCAACAGACCAGTATTCTCCTTATTTATAAAGTCAGCCCTGGACAAGATGGGGAATTGTAGAGAGATACAAGTATGGTGGAGAGCCCATGGTTTGGAGTGCTGGTTCTTAGATCTCACAAATGGAATGTCCCTACCCTTCATATCCCAAGAAATGAATAAATTAACTTTTGTCAATTACCTGTAAAAATAAAAGTGCAAATAATGAGCAAATAGCAATGCTGTTTTAAACTTCTGTGCACTTATTACTTTTTTGATCTTTAAATGATTTACTAAAGGAATCTACTCAGAAATTCAAAGAGAGTTCTTTCTGGCTAAAGAGGTTACCCCTCTAGTAAAGACCTACAGAAGGAAGAACCCACATCACAAAAGTGGGTTAATAAGATAGTAAACTAAGAAAGCCCCTTATGGAAAACTCTAGGGTTGCAGAAGTTGATAAGAAGTTGGAGGTAAGGGTAAGAGAAAGGTGATAAGAAAATGTTTGGAGCAAGATAATTAAATATCTTTGTAAGTTTTCTGGAATAGATTCTTCATACCTGAATATTTTTCTTGCCATCTCCTTTAATGTCCTCATGTCTATTATTTGGCTGACATTTTCTTTCAAGTTGCTAAAACAAGAGAAGGTTGGTTTTAGGGAGAAGAAATAGAGAAGATAGAAGTATAAGTATCAGAAAAGAAAAGATGAAAATGGGTGGGCTTGAGAGAGAAGAGAGAATATGAAAAGCAAAAAGAGCTTTAGAAAAAGAAAAGAAATTTTGAAAATATTACCAAGACTTTTTACTTAAAATTTTTCATTTCCTCTTGAGTGACTTCTCCAGTATTGTTGGTGGCAGATTTCTGGGAAGAAATCTTAAAAAATAAAAAAGAAGAAGAAAGCCAGGAAACTGTTTTAGACCTTCATTGAAAATAACCTAGTACCTACTCTTAAGGGTATTAGAAATAAAGTGTGTAATTAACAGGTGTTGAATAGGAAACCAAGTTTAGGGTTGTTTTCCATCCAGTTTTGTGCTAGTGTAAAAATGGAATAAGAACCTGTACCAAAGAGCTATTAAGTAAAATTAGTACTCTCAGGAGAACCAGATACTAAAATCTGTATTAATAGTGACTATAGAAAGACCAGGATGCTACTAGTAATTTAAAAAAAAAAAGTTAACAATAAGGTTATAACTTTTGTCTTTGGGGCAGTAATACGTTTTGAGATTCTTTTTATTTGCAATTAGTGTATGAATGTCATGAAATTTCTATCATGGTGACTAAAAATAAAACAACAGAACAACAGTATTTTAGTTCTGACTAGGTATTTTTAAAGGGTTAAAAAGAGCAAAATTGATCCTTCATGATGAAAGGTAAGAAGTCAAATGTTATTTACAAAGATCATTTCTCATTTACTTTTCCTATTTTCGGCTTGTTTTCAGGCAAATGGATTCCTGTGGGAGATGGAACTCTTTGTCCATTTTCCAGAATGTGTTTCCAAGCCTGTCAGTGGAACCTGACACAGCTGTTTTGTGTTGAAATGCTTGAAGGACACCTGCATCTCTGCCTGCATCTTCCATCTTACCAAAACCATGGCCTTCTCTGCGGTGTTGCCTGCGTCCCACACTGGGGCATCCAACACGACGTTTGTAGTCTATGAAAACACCTACATGAATATCACGGTCCCTCCGCCATTCCAGCATCCCGGCATCAGCCCACTGCTCAGATACAGTTTTGAAACCATGGCTCCCACTGGTTTGAGTTCCTCGACAGTGAATACTACAGCTGTGCCCCCAACACCAGCAGTTTTTAAGAGCCTAAACTTGCCTCTCCAGATCATCCTTTCTTCTATGATGATATTTATTATGTTTGTGTCTTTTCTTGGGAACTTCGTTGTTTGCCTCATGGTTTACCAAAAAGCTGCCATGCGGTCTGCAATTAACATCCTCCTTGCCAGCCTGGCTTTTGCAGACATGTTGCTTGCCGTGCTGAACATGCCCTTTGCCCTGGTAACTATTCTCACCACCAGATGGATTTTTGGGAAATTCTTCTGTAGGGTGTCTGCTATGTTTTTCTGGTTGTTTGTGATAGAGGGAGTAGCCATCCTGCTCATCATTAGCATCGATAGGTTCCTTATTATAGTCCAAAGGCAGGATAAGCTAAATCCATATAGGGCTAAGGTTCTGATTGTAGTTTCTTGGGCAGCTTCTTTTTGTGTAGCTTTTCCTTTGGCTGTAGGAAACCCTGACCTGCAGATCCCTTCCCGAGCCCCCCAGTGTGTGTTTGGGTACACAACCAATCCAGGTTACCAGGCTTATGTGATTTTGATTTCTCTCATTTCTTTCTTCATACCCTTCCTGGTAATACTGTATTCGTTTATGGGCATACTCAATACCCTTCGGCACAATGCCTTGAGGATTCATAGCTACCCCGAAGGTATATGCCTCAGCCAGGCCAGCAAACTGGGTCTCATGAGTCTACAGAGACCCTTCCAAATGAGCGTCGACATGGGCTTTAAAACACGTGCCTTCACGACCATTTTGATTCTCTTTGCCGTTTTCATTGTCTGCTGGGCCCCGTTCACCACTTACAGCCTTGTGGCAACGTTCAGTAAGCAGTTTTACTACAAGCACAACTTTTTCGAGATTAGCACCTGGCTGCTCTGGCTCTGCTACCTCAAGTCTGCCTTGAACCCACTGATCTACTATTGGAGGATTAAGAAATTCCATGACGCCTGCCTGGACATGATGCCTAAGTCCTTCAAGTTTTTGCCGCGGCTCCCTGGTCACACGAGGCGGCGGATACGCCCCAGTGCTGTCTACGTGTGTGGGGAACATCGGACGGTGGTGTGAATGTTGGAACTGTCAGACATTTGAGGTCACGATTGTTCTTTATTGACTGGATTTTGTTTCACATGGCTTCTCCACTTACACGTCATTGTTTTTTATAGGGGTCGTGTGTGTGTGTGTGTGTGTGTGTGCAGTGTAAAGAAAGAATGGTAATTAGTTATAATTCTGTTACCAAGGATACACAATAGGAAACTGACCACAAATGTTACCTTCAGGGTTCAAGAGAAATGCTTGATTTAGGGAGGGGAGATGGTCTTTGGGGATTTTTATTATTATTATTATTGATTTTGTTTTTGTAATAGAAATCAGGATTGTGCTTTACTGAGCCTGCAATTACATTGAATTGTAGGTGTTTTGTATGCTGCTAAGGTATACTTAGTGGAGTTTATCAGTTCTTTTTTCTGGAAGACACTGCTGCTTTTTTACTCTCACATTGGAGCCAAAACCCATACATCTCAGTTGATGAATATTTAGTTTTATTTAAAATAATAAAGGGGCTAGTGACATTTTAAAGGTCATTACTATTTACTTTTGTGCACTTTAAGAAACAATGTGCGAATTAATTCAGTCATACTTTTTGGAATTGTTTTTATACATGTGCTTTAGGGGATGTGCATTATCATCTTGAGGAAGATAGTTCTTTAAAAATTGTTTTATTTGCATGTACAGTTTTAAAGGAGAGAACATAAAAATGTAGAAATTTTTCTAAGCACAATAGTGACTCTTTGGAGCAACAGGGCAAAATTGAGGAGACAGCGCGCACTTGCAAATTTGAAAGGGGACTGCAGTGAGGGGGTGACTGGCACGGGCTGTGGCAGCTCCTTCCACTCAAGGATTCTAGCCAAGAATAGTAGGGAAAAAGGACCACCATTTATGGACACCTACCTTGTGCACTGTGTATCATTTTATCCTCATGGCATTCTGGGAGGTAGGTATTATTTTTTCCTTTTTACAGATGAGGAAAGAAAGTCTCAGGCACCTAAAATCCAGCCCAAGGTTAGTGGTAGAGCTGGGATCCAAAAATCTGTCAGAAACCTGAGACTGTGCTGTTCCACTGTGCCACGCGGACACCTCATTCACTTTAGATATTTTATAGTCAAGAGGGAACTCTGTGTATCCTTTAATTTTGGGGGACTAAAACCTTCTTTTTAAAAATAGCTTCAGTTTTTTATTAGCAAAAGAAATATGAAACCATTACAGAAAATCTGGATAATAGAAAAGAAAACATAAAATCACTTACAGCTTTAAAGGGGAACTTTAAAATCTTAGATAAATAAGTCTGTAAAGAAAATAAGGTGATATTTTGAGGTGCAAAACAAGTGACTAACAATTATTGAGAAGTTAGATACAGGTTTATGTACGTCTTGCCCCTACAGGTTTGGAGGTGTCCAGTCATCCAGCTGCATTGGTCCTAAAAGTTCTGGACAGAACAGCGTTGTTGCCCCAGTGCTTACCCTAGCAGAGCTGGAGTTTGTGAACATGCTCAGAGTTGTGTCTCCTACAGAGAAGGGAAGTGAAACTTTGGTCCGAGCCTAGAGCAAATTTTAATAGGGCAGGTCTGGGTTTCATTATTTTTCTCCTGCTGTCTGTCTGCCCCCAGGTGCATCCAGGGCCTTTGGTCAGCTTCTCTCTGTAAAATAGCACACAGGGATGGGACTGCAGGCGATAGCTATAAGGGCTGAAAAGGTAGCTTCTTGGCTACATCATGGGATAAATAGATGGGCAAGTTAACCATGGACTTATAGCATCTGTTCAGAATTTTAGTGCTTTATGAGCCAATGGAAAGAAATAAGCCTCTGTTTCTTCAGTTGTAAAACCAGAGAGTTGGATTAGATGAATCTCCAAGGTCCTGTCCACCTTTAATGTGCTTTCCTCTATGAGAGTATAAATTTTTGAAGAACCCAGCTGACTTCAGCATCACTCTTTGGTCTCCAGTATTACTTCTTTACATTTTATTCCATTAGTTGTTTCTTAAAATTGAATGTCTGAAGAGCTCATGGCACGGTTTCAAGAGTTAGGACATTGGAAGGTCGATGACATCCTGAAAGATGTAGGAAACCTTGCTCTTAAGGCAGTCGCAATGGTGTTGGGACTCATTGGTTAGTTAAAAAACTCTTGGGATTCAAGCATATTATTCAACATGTTTTGGGATCATCTTCAGATGATAGTCATCTACCTCTTTAGTTTCTAATTTATATTATTCACAGGTAAAATTTGTATTGTCCATAGATATCTTATAGGACGTAAACACTGTAGTAGATACTAGTAGCACATTGAAGTATATAATGCTCTTCATTTTCAATGTAAACTGGATTTCAAGCAGATAATAATAGGCTATTTGAGATTAGACTTTCTCTGAGAAAAGTCAGCATGATCTGTATTCATCTTCCATAGTGGTAAGTCTTGAGACTCCTTTTGTTTTCTTTGTTCTTGTTTTATTAGCAGTCTTTAGGTACTTTTATGCTGCTTAGTAGGCAGTGTCTCATTTGGCGAGAGCTCTGGAGTGCCTGCTGAGATGCTTGGTGTTGGAGAAAGAAGACTGTGAGAGGCCTTTGTGAGGACTCAGCAACAACACTGAATAGCAGTTCTCTTTACACTGGATAATCTTGATCAGATGACAGTTTACAAATCACTTTGAACATTTTTATTATGTATGCATTCTGAAAGCTTTAAAAAAACGTACTATGGTGCACCTTTGAGAAATTTAGGTGCAGAATTGTATGTTGCCTATTTCCCTATATTTTCTTGAGGGGAAAAATACCACTACTAATATCACTGCTGACTGACATAATTTGACTTTGTTTTTTGTTTGTTTGTTTTTCTTTCTGGCTAATAAGTAAGAAGCATGAACAAGATAATGAAATACTTGTGGTCAGAAGAGTCAACAGAAATCCAAAATAGTCTGGAACAGTGATATTTAAACTTTAATATGTGTTTTTAAGTATCCCCAGGGGAGTGTTAACAATACAGATTCCTGGGTCTCCCAGAGGGTCTGCAGTTGGGCCCAGGAATGTATATTTTTATTTTTTTGAGCAACCTACATGATTCTGGTTCAGGTGGTCCCTGGCATACACTTCAAGAAACACCGCTGTAGAAAATATATCCATTTAAATATTGTCTGTTCTATTCCAAAACATTTTGTTTTGTGTTGGAAGCCATCATCTCCTGGGCATGGGTAATCCACATTGAGAGGTAAATCTGCATATCATTGGGCCTAATTTGCTGCCACCTGTGTTAGTGCTGGATCTCACTGGTTTTTACTTTACTTTCTTTCAACTGGCAAAATTCTGATAAACCCTATAGTTTCACGCTAGAGCAAAAAATGTGATTTAATAACTGAAATTCTTGACTTTCCAGAGTCTAATTACTCCAATATTTTCTTTTCTCCTGGAGAGATGTCTTTATGGTATGTTATTTCCTGAAGAGTATGAGGGAAATGTAAAGATTCATCTAATTCCTGTTACTCTGCTTATGCCAGTTGTGTTCAATGGAAGCATGAAGTAAAATAAAGTACCTTTTTAACCTATGCATTTCTGTTGCTGACGAAGACAATTTTTTCTTGATTTTTGCTTTTGTTTACATGGAAATATTTATGTATATATCACAGAAAAAGTTTCACTTGCTTGACATTTTATTTTAACATGATATTTAGTTTAAGTTTAAAGAATGCTAAATTCAAATTTATTTTTGCAACTATAGTCCCACTAAACTGCCTTCATGGAAAACGCAGTTTTCATAATAATAAATAAAATAAATACCAAAGCACACATTTGTTATTGCAGGTAAATCATAATAAATTTCCTAGATGTATATTAGTAGTAGTCCTTTGTAATTAAAATCAGTTTATTTTACAAGAGTATTGACCTGTATGAAAAAAAAAACCTTGGATTTTGAGTTATAATATTTAAATATCAAGAAATATGTTATTTGTGGATATTCTTATTACAAACAAAAAAAGAGCTCCCAGTAAGAAAATGAATAAATGTTTAACATTTCTAAAGTGGATTTTTTTAAAAGGACTACTTTATCTTATCTTAGAGAAGTTGTCATGAATAATACTTTCTGTTAAATTAAAATCTGAGTTTAGTTTCAAATCCTGCTTCCTTTGGGTGCTTATTTTCAAATTAGCTCTCAAAGCCTGTGTGCATATAATTATATTCTAGTTTTAGAAATTCTCAAAGTAGTTCAGGATAAAATGAAACTTGACAAAAAACTATTAGTATTAAGAAACAGTTTTAAGAAATCTTATCAAGGAGAGTTATGAGAATTTTACTACTGAGTCATTTAAAATTAGATTGTCTGTTGGTAAATCAGTGACAATGTCTGCTTTTATTTTGATGACAAGATTTCATACCGCAATTCCATTTCTAAAATCCACTTATAAATCCACGTGAAGCATCGTTTATTTGTACATAAATGTTTCAATTTTGTGCCAATTAGACAAGAGGGTTTTATATTTTTCTTCTTTTTCACACATGCAGTAGCTAAATATATTTCTTCTTTTTAAGTTACAAAAGGAGGTTGATTTATAAAAGAAGATTGTCAATGAATCTACATTCGGTGTTTTCTTATGAAATGGAAAGGTAAGGAAGGTAAGGAAGACATAGCAAAATAAAGCAACATGTTGAATTAAATGCAGATTCACATCTATTATGAAGATAATAAACCCTTATGGAGCAATTTCTACCTTGACTATCAAGACACAGTCAATAAGATTTAATGCAAAAAGAAAAAATAAAAATTTCATGGCTGTATCAGTGAGCTTTTAACCAGAGAAGCAGAACTAGTAAGAGATATTTATTAAGAGATCTATTGCAAGGTATTAGCTTACATGATTGTAGGGCTGGCTAAGTAAGTCTGAAATCTGATGGGCAGACCTTCAGGAAGAGGACACTGGAGCTCTCAGGCACAGACTGAAGCTGCTGGCCTCAGGTGAAATTTTTTCTGCCTCAGGGAAGCCTCAGCTATGCTTTTTGGACCTTTCCACTGATTGAGTCAGGACCACCCAGATTGTCTAATAATGTGGACTGATTATAGAATTTAATCCCGTCTACAAAATACCTTCACAGCATCATTTAGATTAATATTTGATGGAATGATTGGGGCACCTGCCTAATCCTGAGAAGTGGTTCCCCCACTGGACTGTGAGCTCCTTGAGCCAGTGAGCAGTGTTGCTCACTGCTACATTCTTGTGTTGACTTCAGTGCTGGTCCATAACAGGCACACAATACTGTTAGACTTTTTTTTTGTAACAATGGCTGAAGAGGAGAAGACCAACATTTGGGTGTTCAGAAGAGATTGGTGTTTGGGGATCAGAATGGTGTTGGTTTGTTCATATGTAAACAAACCCAGTGGGACTTTTCTGAGTGTCATTAATCCATCTGTACTATATATAAATATGGCAACAACCCACCAATTTGGAATTTGTGATTAGTAAGCACTGGTTTATATAAGATTAATCTATCTAAATAATGTTGATTAACTAATTAATAAATATAAATGATATTGGAGAGTATTTGACTGTGAAAGACAACAAATCAGATAAGCCCAGAGTGCCAAGCTGGGAGTCAGGAGCCCTGGGGTCCTTGTTTCAGCTTTGAAACTCCAGCTGCATCACTAGAACTCTTTCAGCCTGTGATAAAGTGGCAGTATTTTAAGATGCCCATGAACTCATGATTAGTATGTAATTAGAATTGCTTAATCAATTGAATCATTTGTATATGTATATAAAAAAAACTGTACCAAAAACTGTTACTGTAATATTTTATTGCATAGTTTTAAAAATAATGAAACAATATTTTTAATTATGTAATTTATCTTATTGACTATCTGTTCTGTGGCAGTATGTTCATTAGAGGTTGTCAAGTACGTTATACCCTAATAAACAGGTGAGGGAATAGTATAAGTGCAATTAAATGACTTGCCCAAATTCTTGCATTAGTTAGGAGGCAGAACTGGGATACAAACCAGACTGAGCAGCTCCCAACTTTAGAGCTCCTTCAAACTCACCTTCCTCAGTGAGATTTTACCAGAGGGAGAAGGGCTGAAGAGTGAGGTTGCAAGGTTTGGAAAAACCAATAATCAAGTAAGCAAAGGCCAAATGATTCTGGAAAGTATCTTAATCTGATAAGTACGTTTTTATTAGTAGAAACAAGAATAATCGAATTTTTTATAACATTTTTAAGAAAATAATTTTTATGGGTTCATCACCCAAGCTTAACCACTAAAAAAATGCTGAGCTCATGGAGAAAGGACTATTGGCAGGCTATTGTGATAAGGCCAGCAGTTTGACATCTGCTGTAGACTGGATGTGCCCCCCCTGCCCTGCCCCTTCATTGAAGCTTAGTCCCTGCTGTAACTGTTGAGGGTGGGGAATCCTGTTATGGTAATTGAAAGATGGAGCCTTGAACAGGTGATTAGATTGTAGAACCATGCTCTAATTAATGGATTAAAAATGGAGGGCAGGGGTGTGGTTCTGAGGGCTTTAAAAGTACAGCACGTGAGAGGTTGGTCTGTCTGTCTGTCTATCTCTCTCTGCTCCACCATTTCACAATGTGATACCCTGCCATCACTGTCATCACCACCAAGGCCTTCACCAAATGTGTTCCCTGGACTTTGGACTACCCAGGCTCAGAAACTGTCAGCAATAAATTTCATTTTCTTATAAATTACCCAGTTCCGGGTATTTTGTTATAAGCAAAAGAAACGGACTAATACAACCTCCTCAGGCTGGACTTAAACTTCTGAGGTGACCTAAGCTGGGCCTCCACACACCCCTGCTCTGGGAAGTATTGCTGTCACTTTTGTCCCTCTGGATTTCTGCTGGAGGAACTTCACCTTCATGGATGCTGGGGACTCCTTGGGAAGCTGTCGGTAGCCAGGGATTCCTTTCTGCTCTCACCTCCTCTTCCTGGACTTATTTGATTAGCAAGGTAACTGCCAATGGCACAGAAGACATTTCTCTCGACAGGAAGAAAGATGGATTTTTCTTGTACAACTTCTCCAAAGGTATTTATAGTCTTCAAAGCTGTGATTAACTTAGACTGCGAGACATCACAATATCTTACGTGAATCTGTGTGAAGGCTACAATTGCCAAGCAACGGATTCTATTCTCTCTCTCTCGAGGGCAAAAGGCTTCTCATGAAAGCAAATACATAGTAAAAGAAGATGCACACTGAAGGGGAATAAGAAATGCAATCTGACAGAGATGTGATGACAACCAAAAAAGAAAGATATCAGATAGATCTTCATTTCTAGCTCCGCCCTTCCCACATTTCTCTCCCACTAGAGACTCAGCTCCCTCAGGGCAAAGCTCTCTGCTTGTGTATTGTTTCCCCAGCACCTGCCATGGTGGCTCACAGAGAGCACTAGTCCCCAAGTCTCAAAATAGACGTTTTGATAATAGAATCTTGGTGGTAGAAATCCTAATGGACTTAACCAAACCAAATAGGTTCTAAGTAGCAAGAGCTGAGATCAGTGCCCAGGTCATCAGTCTCCAAGTCCAGTGACTTATCCACTGTACTGACTTGCTTCCTGCTTTAAGGGAGGACATAATCTGGGGGACTGCTGACACCATATCTAGAATGTTTGGGGGATGAGTATATAGAGTGGATGGAGTTGTAAAATTTTTATTTGCTAAACCTGGCAGCCCCAAGGGTAGTGTACATGAGTATGTATATGTTTTTTGACCCTATGATTTTCAATTCATATCATGGAGGATGTCCTCCTTCCACTTATTTGTAAGGGTGATCTGTGACTATATCTTGTAGTCTTGACTAAATATGCTGGGGTTCGGCTCCTTAAAAGGTAGAGCAAGGACAGGGTTCATGATGTAGCTCAAGAATGCAGATGCAGATGGACTGATAACACCAGCATGGGGAGGTGTGTTTCTGTTACTGTTTTGTGTAATCTCAGTGTGTTGATAAATGAATGACAATGGTGATATGGACAAGACGTATTCAATATCCACCTCCATCATGGAGATTTTCATTGGGAAAAGTTTTTTATTGATGGAATTGGACATCTATATGTCGAATGCCATTTTGAACACTTGCAACAGATCTTCAGAGTTTAAATCACTTTCACCATAGTTTTGGCAGGACTGTGAATATATTTTTTTCAGCTGTTCTTCCTGATGGAAACTATAAATAGCTTTGGGGAAGTATATAATTATCCCAAAGTAAAAAGCTAAAGATAAAAAGCTGCTTGAGATTTTAAAGGAACATTTAATAGTTATTATTACATAACATTTATTAAGTATGCTCACTGTGCTCATTGTCTTTGCCAGGAAGAAACTGGGAATAAAAAGTCAATCCAAGATGTGACAAATAGACAAAAAAGGTACATTAACATGGTGCCAGAACAAAAGGTTGGCTTAATAAAAAAAGAAAACTTAGAAGAACAAAAAAGGCAGCTAAATCAGCCTCCGTATTGAAGTGAAGATAACCTATATTTAGTAACAAATCTTTAAAGCACTGGCAGTTTGAAACAAAGACGGATAGTCACATAAAAACAGAAAACGTGGCCTGTGCCTGGGGTGGGCACTACTGTGTTTTTGGCAACTAGCTCTGACTTTTACATCTAAAAGGCATTTACTTACTCTGCTCAATGAATAAGTATTAAAATATTTAAATACTAAATAAAGGTTCAGTGTTGGCTGAAGCAAGGTAAATGTTATAAATAATGATTTCAGTTTTCAGCTCCTGGCTAAGACTGTTCTTGCTGTTTAAAGCCTGTAAAAAGTCCACAACCAAATATTCATATTAATGGCAGCCATCATTTATTTGATACCTGATACATGATGCAAATACTATATCTATATAAATATATAATCTCCAATTCTTATACAAATCTGGGAGATAGATATTATCATTCTATTTTATAAATCCTTTAAGGCTCCAAGTGGTTAACTGAATTTTAACAGACCATAAGACTCATAAAGTAGAGATACAAGAATTCAAACCTACATCTGTGTAGACATCGAAGCTCACATTTTTTTACATTGCAGGACTGTCTATCCAACCTCTTAGTGCTTTCTTTTTTCCTTCACCTATTTTGGCCTCATTTGTGAAGGATTTTCCTTTAGAATATGAT